GTTCCATCAGATTAGGTATCGCCTGTACAGCTGGGGGCAGGCTGCTTATAAAAATTGGGGGAACGTCTGTGCCAGTTTCTGGGTCTCAGTGCCTGGTCTGCACTATTCCAGGGAATACCCAGAATTAAACAGGAGGGGATAAGAGTCCTTCCACACATCAGAGTGCGTGGAGCTGCCTCCTTTGCAACGTGCTGGAGAAGAGAAGCATTGCCTGTGCATGGCCTCCACACTTGACCCTGCCTATGAATAGAGCATCTTCTGGCCGCCACATTGTGGGGATGGCAGAAAACAAAAAGATGAACAAAACCCTCTGAGGAGGCAGGGAGGGAAGGAAACCATCAATTTCCCTGCCTGACATTGGCTCCTCAGGAGACCGCACCAGGATTTCGGCCCTGGCTCTCCAGCGGCCGGTTCCTGCCCGCCCCGGCAGGCTCTGCAGAGCCTGGCCTCGGCTCGGCGGAGCCAGCCCAGCTCCTGGGCTCACATTCTTGGCATTTTTCTCTTTCATTTCCTTCTACTCCCTGTATATAATTTCTCTCTCCCTCCTTTCTGTCTCCAAGCCCCCTCCGGCGTCATGGTCCCTCTCCCCCCTCGCCTGCCCTGGGTGAGGACGCCCGGCTGGCTCCCTCCTGCCCGCAGTATGCAGGCGCCCAGCAGCATTTTAACTGCAATTCCTTTTTCTTTCTTCTCGCCGTTATTTTTCCTTTAAACAAAATTCCTTCCTAGGCATGACATCACAGCACAGCCCTCCCAGCACCTTTAAAAGGGCACTGTACCTCTTTTCTCCTCTCTTCCCACAGCAAAACTTTGCTCATTTTTGGGCCCTCTGAACAAGCCAGCCTGGCCAGAGCTGCCACCCCGCGCTGCTGCGGCTGAGTACCCCAGCTTGCTCCCACTCTCTCTGGCTCCCAAGGGCAACGCAGGGTTGCTGAACTTGGTGTTATCTGGCAGCCTGGCTGGCAAGGTGGGTGGGTGCAATGCTGGCTCCTGTCCCACATCTCCCTCCAGCTGTGGTAACTCCCCCTCTAAGCCTGTGTGTTTTCCCAGCTGTGCTACTCCTGCCCCTGAGTTTGTTACGGGCACTTAGGAAGAGTTTGACCACCCCAAAGCTAATTAGTATAAGACGACTCATCCTGTGACCACCCTCCCCAGTTCTGCCAGACCCTGCCTATGCACTCCCTGCCTTCAGCCACCTGGTAGGGACAAACCGACCACTCGTGGCCCTCCCAGTGAGCAGGAGAGGAGTCCTTCATGCCCTCACCCCTCTGCATGGCTGGGGTCCCAGATGGGACAGGGCAGACATGTCCCCTTGACACAGCCGTACCTTGTTTAGGACATCTTTCTGGGAGCCCAGGTAGAGATGCGGCAGGATGCGTGTGGGGCCAACATTGGCCACCGGCAAGCATGGCTGGGAGATGCTCATCGGCAGGATGGCAGCTGGCTTCCCCTCGCACAGCCCTGGGAAGCAGGACGAGAACGTGGCAAAGCCTCCTGCGGAGAAAATGGGGACATTGAGCTCACAGGAGCAAGGCTGAGACCATCAGTACCTGGCATCCCCGGGCCCAGGCTGGGGACAAAGCACTGATAACCTTGCAACACTGAGAACAGAGCCTTGAGGAGAAAAAAGCCACCAGCCATCACTAACCAGTGCAGACACGTTGTGATGACTGTGCCACACACGTGGAGAAAGGAATGGAGACCCAGCTCTGATTTTTCCTGCCACAGCTGGATATTAATGCGCACATGAGGCATCCCGCACCCTTTCCTGCTCTTTGCAACTTCATTCGGACAAATGACAGGAAGAGAAAGTCCTTTTCTTGGCTGCCTACTGCTCTGAGGACAGCCAGGGTCACTTTCTGACAGCAAAACCCACCAGGGCAGGATGACGACAAGCAAGTCCACTGAGGCGCAAAGCTCCCCAGGCTGGGGAGGTCAGCCCAAACCTTGCCACAACAGCTACACGTACACACTGTGGTTTCTGGGAGATGCACCCTCTGCCCAGCCCTGCTGAGCCCATGATTTCTGCCACATCACACTGGACCAGCACATCAGTACCTGCTTTTTGCCAGTCTGACCTTACTAAATGTGACAGCAAGCAGCATTCAGTTCACTGCACCAAGGTGTTGGGCAGTCATACCCAGCCTGAGCATCTCGAAGTCCCATATTGACAGAAAAACCCCAACTGGGGCTGCGGTATGTGGCATCTGACAACCAGAGCTATTGCCACAGTGTCTGGCGCAAAATGTGAATGAGCCTGCCTGACAGCCAGTCCTCAGCTGAAGCAGCAAGAACACTGACTTGAGCAGGGCAGGAAGCATTGCCCTGCCTGCACGGTGGGCAGCTCGGGGTGCTGGAACACCACCCATGCTGTTGGATGTCCTGCACAGCTGTGTAAGGATACAGGTGATTCTGATTTGCTTCTGCTCACTGATCCTGTTCTTCAGGGCAGAGCCGGGTCTGGCTAGTGGTGGCCCAGCCTCGCTCCCCACCAGCTGAGTACCATCTTGGTTCAACTGAGGGGACCTTGGATCAGCCTAATCAGTCTCCCTTGAGGTTTTTGCCAGTCATGCAAAGGAGCAGATGCATCTTGACATCACCCAAAGGGCAGAGAAGACTCTGGGGCTTGACTGCCTCTGACTGTTAGAGGGACCATGATGCCCCCAAAAGACCCTTCTGAAAGTTCAAGTGTCTGGACTCGGCACCGTGAGAATCCCTGGCCCAGCTCCACAGCTAAACAAGACCTTTTAATGAGCCTTTGGTAACAGCCTTTCCATTCAGTCTCTCTCTCCTCCAGAAACAGGGCAGCCTTGGCACATTCTCAATTTACCTTCTCCAGCACCTTGCCCACATTTCTGCTGACCCTCCTGGAGCATCTCCCTAGTTGCTGGTGTGGCATCCAGGCTCTGGTGGGGAATGACTGGTGCTGCAGACACCCACCCACCATGTTTGAGGGCTGAAAGTGATGGAAAAGCCAGAGTGGCACACAAAATTGTGCTCACACCGCCCAGGAACTTCCAAGGTCCTCCATCATCCTCCATTTCAGCAGCTCCTGGTGTCAACTCCCACTGAGGAAACTGTCCTCCAACTACCACCTTTCCTACCCTCTAACACAGATCTCAGCTTCAAAACCTGGCCAAGCCGGGAGTGGTGGAGTTAAAGCACCTTATCTTCTCCAGCACTTCCTTTTCCCTGGCTCCCTCCGAAATGACATCACCTCTCAACTGGGACATTAAATCAGAGTGAAAGCAGGAGGCCCAGCGCAGGTGCAGCACAGCTCCAGTTACCACCCATCCCTGCGCTGCGTCCCCATTGCCAAGGAACGTAAATCACCGGCCAGAGCCCAGCGCAGACACATGCGACCTCCACGCTCTACCCTGTGCCTAAGCACACGCTGCTGAAGCCCAGGGGGGATGCTGGGGCAGAAACCCTTCCTGCAGATTTCTGTGAGCTGCCCCCAGGGAAGCCTGCAGCACAGGGCATTGAGCAGGGCACAGATTTGACCTCTGAACTTGTGCAGGGGTTAAACAAAAACGTGCAAAACAACATCGGGATTTTCTCAAAGGAATCCAGCATGTTTTTGGGGAGCAGGGTGCGTGCAAGCATAGCCCTGGGGACCAGTGCCTGCTCCAGTCCCTAGCCTCTCGCGCTCACTCATACTGGTCAAGAGCCACCCAGGGCTGCTTATGGCTTCAGATCACTCGTTAAAAGCCGGGAGCGTGGGGTGATCTCACAGCTAAAGCAGGTTGGGGCATGCTGCTGAGCACTCTCTTCCCCTCGCCCGCCTCCGCCAGCACTTGCCCAGCAGCACCTCCTCTGCCAGCCGTGCCTGGGGAAGTCCAGGCAGGAGCAGGTGGGGCTGCAAAGCAAGCGGGGACGTTCTCAGAGTGGTGGCAGCACCCTCAGCGATGGTGCCTACCCCAGCATGCTGCCAGCTACCAGAGGACAATGCTGCCCAAAATGATGCCCATAGATTGCCCCAAGCAAAGCTTCAACCCCTGCCTGTCCTCATTTCCCTCACGCTCGCAGCTGCCGAGGGCAGCCTGCGCCTGGGGAAAACCCTAGAGATGGGACTGGGTACCCGACGCCATCCCAACCTCGGAGTGGTGCTCACCCCACCCCACGCCGGCTGCTCTAGCATGCCTTTCATTTTTATAAAGCAAAGCAGCTCTTCGAAACAATCCCAAAGGCAGTGAATGTCCCTGGCTGGGCTCCAACCGATACCTGGGCTTTCCCCGCTCCGTACCCTGGGCCACAGATCCCAGCTTTTGCTGGGAGAGAGCAGCAGAGCCCCGCAGGGTGAGGAGCCAGGACAGCACTGGGTCTTTCTAGTCTTTGCTCTTGTGCTGTTGCCAGGAGTGGCATTTCTCTTGGCACGTGGGGAATTAAGCTCAGGAAGGATTTGTATCTGACGGGGAGTGGGTGTTTGGGGATCTCTTGTTTCTTGCTGATGCTCACCTCGAGCCTGGCGAGGGTTTGCTGGGGAGGAGCTGGTCCCTGTGTGGCATGGCCCCATGCACTGCTCATGGCTCCAGCATGCCTGATTGTTCTCAAAATCATTCCTCAGGAAAAAACTGTGTTTTGCTGCCTCCTGCAATTACCTGTGTCATGGATGTGAGGCTGAGGAGGAGAAGAGGAATGTTTGGGCACAGGGAACGGGGCCAGAATTGGGGACGCCTTTGCTGCTCCTGCAGAAGGAACCAAGAACCAGCATCAGGCAGGTCCCTGGGAGGTCTGGGAGGTGAAAACCACTTCCCAAGTTTGGTGGTGCTTGTTCAGCAATGACCCTGAGTCACAAAAACCCTTAGCAGTGGCCAGCTCAAGGTAGGGCTCAAGAGAAACAGTTTTCAGGGGGGAGGGGAGTGCTGTGACCCTCAGAGGAAAGAGGGAAACTGAAGCACGGGGTGTTGCAGCAACTTAGTGCCAGAGAAGTGCAACATCTGAAACCTCATTTCTTCACCCACCCCAGGCTTCACTCAGGGGTTGCTGACTCTCCCTTCCACCTCCAGCTCTGCCCTGCAGAGACCCCTCTGGGCCAGCCCCCAGCCCTGCCCTGCATGGCCCCAGCAGCAAACAGAGGAGAGGTAAAAACCCCACACCTTCTTCCCCCCATCCCATCTTTGCCCAGCCCTCCCCCTGCGCATTTTCCAGATGAACATCTATGGCAACCTTCCAGTGAAACTGGATTTGTTGGGAGAACAGACACTGCAGAGGGAAGGTAGCCAGTCCAGGAATCCTTCCCAAGCCCATTCATCAGCCGGGGGGGAGATGCCGGTAGCATCTTTAAATAAGCTCCTGTGGGACCAGCACTGCTGTAACCAGTTGTTGAGCCCTGTGACCTCTCCTTGAGCATAAAGCAGTGATCTGCACAGCAAGGAGCTTCTCGGCCAGTCACTCTTTGCACCAGCGGCTGTGTAAGACCCTGAGATGAACAAAAAGCCCCAGTGCTAGCACCGGGCTGATGGGCATGGAAAGAGATCAGGGGGTAGAAGGAAAAGAGGTGTTTGACTTCTGAGCTGGGATCCTGCCATACCTGGGGACCCCTCTGATGCCTTGGCCGTCACCTTCAGGTGGTCTCTGGGGACACCTGGCTCATGGTTGGGATGCTGATGTCTCAGGTATTACCCATCACCTGCAGGTTGCCCTTCTGCCCTCTCTGCCAAGGCAGGGCAGCAGTGGTAGTGCAGGGAGGGTGCCACAGAAGGTGACAAAGTCTTGGCTAAGGACAGGGATGTCGTGTGGTATCGTTTTCCTCCTGGTGGTAAGCCCCAGCTTTGGGGATTTACAATCCATTGAGCTGCACGGGACATTAGGGGAGATGCTGCTCAGGATAAAAGCGAGGTGTGGGGACATTAAGCAGGGCTATCCCAGCTCCCTGCTTCTTCTTGCATTCCTCCCTGCACTGAAGCCATCTTCTTAGGCTGGAGGTGTGAGGTAGAGACAGGGAAATTACAAGGCTTGAAAACCTCCTCACAGCTCATTGTGCCAGCTGCAGGCTGCCCATTCATCTCCAGTGCCATGGCCTCACCTCCTTCACAGTCCTTTGAAACAACCCAGCAGCTTAGCCCTTGATGCTGCACCCCACTGACTGCAAGAAGCTGCAAAAGGGCTGTCCAGGGCACATGCCTCACCCCAAAACCACTCTTCGGGAGAGCTCAGGAGTCTCCTAAACGCCCCCCTCTAGAGACACACCAAGCAGCAGCCTCCCGTGTCCATGGTAGAGCACATCCAATCCAAAGCTCCCCAGCAGGAAACAGGGAAGAGGTGACATATCACCCCGCTGTGCCACCAGTTTGTGGCAGTAAGGAGAAGGGGAACAGGCACAGCTGGAGCTGCAAACCCCTCCTGAGCCAGCAGCCATCACATCCCACCTCCTCAGCCCCAGTTCTCACACCAGGAGCTGGCAGGAGAGCTACAGGAGTATTAAAGTGGTGGTTTATAGCCTGCCCTCACTGCTCCTGTAATGAGTGTTAAAGAGCAGCTGCCAGAGCTGC